TATCTTTTAGTTCCCACTATGTGCCAGGCACTGTTCTAAAATACGGAACTATAAGAGCAAAACAAAGTTTCTGTTCTCCTGGACCTTACTAAGGACAAACAAAAAGCAGATAAATATATATAATATCAAGTAATGATAACTGCTCTCAAGGAAAATAAACCAGGCTAAGAGGGAGTGAGAAGGGGCTGGAGTATTTAGAAAACACTTTGTTTAACTTCTATGAGAGTGATTCTCGACTTGTGGTTCCAGAGCAACAGAATAACCTAGGAACTAGTTAGAAATACCAATTATCAGACCCCATGCCAGACTTGCTCAACCAGAACCTGGGAGGAAGCGGGTAGAAGGAACCCAGCAATATGTTTTAATAAGCCCTGCAGGTGATTTTGATGCCCTCTAACGTGAGAACGGCGCTCCTCCTGCTTCATCTACCATGAATAGGTTACAGGTGCGGTCTAATAGACTGATTTTTCTTAGCCCATAAGGGTAGCTTGAGGGTTCGGGGAAAAGGAGGTGCTGGGGACCCTCCAGCCAAAAGTAACCTCCACCCACACTTTTCAGAAGGCAGCCAAGTGGGGTCAGCTGGCATGCCCACGGGCCTCCAGCGAGCCATTTGATACTCACTGAATTTGCTGCGGGAAGCTGTGCGCTGCCAGGTATCGACTTCTGCCTCCGGGACCGCCCCTGCGAATCCTTGGGGGAAGTTCCCGCCTGGATGCGCACGGAGGCTGCGCAGCCGAAGGCGAGGCCCAGGGAGGGCGGGGCAGGGAGCCGGGTTCCTGCGCGGCGCGCTTCCGGCGCCTACAGACGCTTCTGTACCTGAAGTTTCACCATTGTTTTGAAGTACTCGTTAGGAAAAAGTTTGACTGGATTTGAAATCCACTTGTACCATCAAAGGAAATATCAAAATTACATTTGTTGATGAAAGAAAAGATATTCAATTCTTTGTTGCACTGGTGTAAATTGTGTTGTAAAAATGGTTTTTAAAAGTTTTTAATCATTTCACAGTATATATATACACCTTAAATATGTACAATTCTTACTGCGATAAAGCTTGAAAATCAATGACTAAATAAGTAAATTTAAAACAAAACTGTGGGGCTTCCCTGGTGGCTCAGTGGTTGAGAGTCCGCCTGCCAATGCAGGGTACACGGTTCGTGCCCCAGTCCGGGAAGATCCCACATGCCGCGGAGCGGCTGGGCCCGTGAGCCATGGCCGCTGAGCCTGCGCGTCCGGAGCCTGTGCTCTGCAACGGGAGAGGCCACAACAGTGAGAGGCCCGCGTACCACAAAACAAACAAACAAACAAACTGTGAACACGTTTCTCATCCACGGTAACAAAAATATTGAAAGCTTATCAAAAAGCCTTGATTAGGAATTTCATGTAGGCGTTTCATCTGACAGAAGGCCTAGTTCTTGAAGTCCATCTGAGGATCACCTGGCTACCTCTTAATATGGCTCAAACTGGGTCTCCTCTGACTCCACCCAGGTAGAATTACTTACCCCCTCCTCTGTGTCCTCGTGGTAACATGCAGATCTGTGGTTCTCAGCCCTGAGCAGTTTTGCCCCCATGGGACAGCTGGCAATGTCTGGAGACACTTTTGGTCACTGCAGCTGTTGGGGAGGTGCTACTGGCATTCAGTAGTTGGTAGAGGCCAGGATGCTGCTAAAGATCTTACAATACATAGGAAAGCCCCCTACAACAAAGAATTATCTGGTCCCAAATGTCAACAGTGCTGAAGTGGAGAGACCCTGCTGTAGGTCCTTCTGTCATAACATACACTTTATCACATCTATGTGTTTACATATCTGTTTCTTCCTGTTAGACTCTAAGTTCCTCAAGGGCATGTCTTACGTTTACATCCTCAGAGGTGAGCAGTGCTAAACGTATAGTAGGTGCTCACTATGTATCTGTGGAATGAATTAATGAGAGAGGAGTCAAGTCAGTTTTATCGGCACCTAACAAGTGGACAACTGCATCTCCAGGCAAAGAAGGCCAGAACATAAAACGCTTGAGAGCAGTATAATTAGGGGAAGTGGGTCTGACAGAGATGCCTGCAGTTATGACCAACTGCTCAACCTCTAAAAGTCAAAATCTCTTAAGTCTTCTATCCCCTCACCATCCTCCCCCACCCCTTCATAACCCCATGTGGTCACCAAATTCTGCTGATATTCTACCTCAGAAATATTTCCTGAATCTAACCCATTCCCATTGCCAAAGTCAGCTCTCATCAGCATCACTTTCCTAGACCACTGCTGTGCCCTCCTGGTTGGTTTCTCTGCCATCTACAAATTGAGAAAGTCAAATATAACTCCCTGTAATCTCTTCCAGCTTTCAAATGATAAGATTTGCAATTTCATCTAGTGATAATGAATTCCAGGTTTTCCATTACATAAGTCATATAAATCAATATTCACTCTCTTCATTATGGATATAAAATTTCAAACCACTAAATAAGTATATTAATTTAGAAAGCCTTGAAATCTATCGTGACCTTTGTTTTAGAAACAAACTCATAGCCAGCAACTTTAATTGGTCCTCTCCCTCTCCTAGTAACTCCATTCCCACAGATGTCAGCCTCGTAACAAACCCAAACAAGGACTAAAGCGTTAAGAGTTTAAAGATGTGTACATTAATATTTTCAGCAAAGGGATGACCAACACTTTCAATTAAAAAGGAATCTAAAAGAAAACAGCAACATCATTTTAAGAGTAGATGAGGCCAGCCAGCTAGAGACTCGTGCTGCTGCCTCAGCACTCCCCAACTCCTCCACCTTCGAGATGCTGTGTTGACTTTTTTAACATGGAATGTTACACATTTTATCAGATATAGTCATTGTCATTCATAATCCCAACAGACTTGTGTTATAAGCAAGTGCTTGTGTTACTGTTATAAATGGATATAGAAAATGAAGTAGTGATGATATAACAGCAAAGGAGATGAGAACAAGTACCCAACATGGGGTCCAACACCAAGTATGGCTTTTTCTCATCAATTTTTTTCCTACAAGAAATCCCTCTATCTTATTGGGAGACAGGGTACAGCTTTTTTTTTTTTTTTTTTTTTTGCGGTACGCGGGCCTCTCACTGTTGTGGCCTCTCCCGTTGAGGAACACAGGCTCCGGATGCTCAGGCCCAGCAGCCATGGCTCACGGGCCCAGCCGCTCCGCGGCATGTGGGATCTTCCCGGACCGGGGCACGAACCCACGTCCCCTGCATCGGCAGGCGGACTCTCAACCACTGCACTGCGCCACCAGGGAAGCCCCAGGGTACAGCGTTGAGAATGTCATTTGACCAACTGTTCTGCCAATTCTTGGATCAAAAGTTGAGGTACAATTTTAGTTTAAGAGTTTATAGCTAGGACTCTAGGTCAAATTAATTCATAACAGAATCAAAGGCTGAGAAAAAAAATCAATAAATGCTACAGTTTCATGCTTTTCCAAATAGAGAAATCTTTTCAGATGATAAAAAAACCTAATTATGTTAAATATCAACTATTAATTTTGAGTGAATACTAAATAATCATGATACTTTTCCCCCTATGGGCCAAATGCAGCTTCAGAATTTTTTTCAGTGTAGTGTTCTGGGCAGGAACTGTTAATTGAGTCAGGCCCTTGAGAGGAAACATTTGTTCTCCCTATAATAATAATCAGGTTTAGAGAGTAAAAAACAAATCTATTTAAGTTACTTTATTACTAATCTTTTCATTACTTTATTCCCAGTGGCCTAGCATGGCATATATGGAAGAAAGTAATGGAATGGTTTTTCCAGAGCCAACTTGAGTTACTTCAGGTCCTCATTCTTTAATAAAACTTTTTGAGAGGAGAAAAAGCTATCACTATGTGAACTCAATAAATACTGAAAAATTTAAAGTAAGTGAACAATACAATAATGTGATCTGAGCTATCTGAGTAGAGTCATAAATCTCTACTTTGAATGGTTGTCTAGACCAACCTAGCATTCGGTGAGAAATTACTAATAGAGAATAAAAAAGAAATGATCTATTCAATGTTTCAATTTCCTCAGATGCAGGTGGGGCAGCTAACCCAGTTTGCTGTTGGATGGAGCATGGCCAGTGAACCTTAAAAAAGCAACACTCCTGCCTTCATCAAAGAAGCATGGGAACAGAGCCTAGCCAAGGACAAGTGTTCCTTTCCTAAAACAGAAGTTAAATCAGATCCCTTCCCTTCTGATTCTTCAAGAAGTAACATCATCAACAGGCTTAAGCATTAGTAAAAATAATAATAAATTAGTAAAAATAAAGAAATATACATAAGAGAGAGAGAAGAGGTCTGGAGGGGGGGAGAGAGAGAGAGAGAGAGAGAGAGAAGAGGTCTGGAGGGGGAGGGAGAGAGAGAGAGAGAGTTCTGGGAGAATTTTCCTCTCCTTCCCCCTTTTAAAACCTAAATGTTCCCAGGAGTAGTCAGTCAACACCTTTACCAGTGAAAATCTCAGCAGAAAGAGTAGGGCCAGGATATAAAATAAATTAGGAGAAAGAGGAAAGTTAACCTTGGGAAGATCTTAAGGAGGAAGACGGGGTTGCTTGGGGAGAAGTTTCTAATTTTACCTTAAAGTTACCCTAACTGGACGACCTTTTCTTTCCCGTAAGCTCTTTAGTCTTAAGCGAGGACCACATACCCCATTCTATACGATATTTACAAATCATAAAGCAAAATGCCATCGCACCTTCAGCGGTTTGCGGGCCTCCGTAGTATTTCAGCTCAAATTTTCGTCTCTAGAAACACATTTTAAAACGCCATAAATTGGCACATGGGTTTTCACAAAAACTCAGTGTTGAAGGTGGCACCAAGTCTCAGGGGTGGCGCGCCCTGTCCACAGCTCTCCTGAGAAACAGCTGCCGGGTTTCACCCCGAGCAGAGCCCCGCCTGCCCACCGCCCAGGTCCCGCCCCCGCCCAAGGTCATTATAGTCCCCCCGGGACGCGCCCCGCATCCCTGCCAGCGACTTTGCAGGAACTGCGCTCCTGGATTCGGTCGTTCTGAGGATGGAGAAAAGGGCTCGGAGTTCCTCCAGAGAGGCCCACGGGAGAGGCAGTGGGTCCGCCCACAAAGAGAACAAGAGGGCGAAGGCCGAGAGGGGCGGCAGAGGCCGCGGGCGCCGGGACGCCGGGCCGGAGCAGTCGGCCCTCGGGCGGGCAGGGAGCCCGGGTGAGCCCCGAGCGCCTGCAGCCACCGTGGTGGACGTGGATGAGGTCCGGGGCTCTGGCGAGGAGGGCACCGAGGTGGTGGCGCTGCTGGAGAGCGAGCGGCCCGAGGAAGGTACAGCGGTCAGGCTGAGGCCCCGGGAGGGGGTGCGGCCTTTCCAGGTGGTACCCAAGGGATGTCAATTAAGGTGCAATGAGGCACCGCACTGAGAGCTTCCGAGGCCAGAGCAGCCTGCTGGACCTGCTCAGCTTCCCAGGAAATGAAAGACGCGAGATAGGACCCACCGACCCCTCAGTGGTGGAGACCAAAATGCATCAGAAGAAATACAAATAACATCAGCTAAATACCACTGTTCTCAGGGGTCAGCCAAGGATGGGAGGTGGGAGGGAGTGTGATCCAGGTTGGGGACCAATCAACATGGTTCAGGGCAACTATGTAGCTTATTCTCCTCTCCTCATCAGACTTTCCTAAAAGTATTTTACACTTTGCAGTGATCATACTTTCTAAAAAGTAGAGGCAGCAGAGCCAAGTAGAGAAAAGCTAGATCTCAGTTTGAGTCTTAGCTAACTCTTTGATCATAGTCAGGGACTTAACCATGTATCAAATGGGGACAGCAATAGTACCCACCTCAGAGGGTAATTGTGAGGATAAAATGAGATAAGACACTCAAAGCACTTATCTTGCGCAAAGCCTGGAGGGAAAGAAAAAAACACCCTTGCAAGCTAAAAGAGGCAAGTTAGACCAAAGGGAGGGAAGCACAGGGAAAGGTGTCTCTTTAGCTTCTGCAGGTGAAGGAACTCTTAGGAACAAATTTATCTGCTTCCAATCCTTTCTATAATGAGTGGAAGAAAAAACTCATTACACCTTAATTTCAGGGTGAGGGAGGTTTAAAGGAAGGTAAATAAGGAATAGTGTGTTATACTACTTTCTGCTGACTATGAAATTTTAACATTTCCTGGCTACCAGCACTGCCCTATATGCTGTAGCACTGAAAGCTATGACTTGAGAAAGATTCCAGCAATTGGGATGTAGTTTATGTTGACCATGTTAATGCTGTTTTGCCTAACTGATGACCTTTCATGGGTCAGAAACTTCTGGTCGTTAAAGGGTTATTGGATTCACTGCTACAGTAGTGCTGAGGTTAGAGGTCTGTAAGTATTGTGCTTCAGACCACATCGGTGGGGTAGGGAAGGAAGGGAGCCCCATTTTTGGAGCTCCTACTGTGTGCCAGGCACATGCTAGGTGTTTTACTGAGTATTATCATTCCCGTGTCACAGATGAGAAAAAATGCTGAGAAATTAAATAACTTGCCCAAGACCTACAGGTGGGAAGTGGAGAAGCCAGCATTCCAGAATAAAACAGTCTTATTGAAAAGCCCATCCTTGCAGGGTGCTGCCCCTGCTTTCTGGTCATGGTTCCAGCACTGCCACCAACTAGCTGTGGCCTTGGGCTAGTAGCTTCACCTTGTGGGCCTCACTCAGTCTGTTCAGCTATAAAGTGACTAGAGCTTCAGGCCCCCCCAAGCAATGGATGAGCCCATTAAGGATGAGACACCCTTGCTGAGCCCTTGTCTGGGAGGTTTCTGTGGCTCCCAGAGGAAAGGGGAACAGACACATCAACATCCCCTCTCCTCCTCACTAGTACCACACTCCCACAGCCAGGCTACCTAAGATTTGGGAGAAACTAAGAGAAGCTTCATTTTACTGAAATGTTGAGGATTCTCAGACTGTCGTATCTCAAGGCGCTTCCTGCTTTAACATGTAGTGTTTCACTATTCACTTACACTAAACAAATTGGATATTCAAGGAACTCATTCTAAGAGAATAATATTTTGTGAGTAAAGCTTCAAGTTAGATTTGGGTATACATATTAGTTTTCTGTTCACATCCCTAACTATGGTATGAAGGAATTTTGAGGACTTTCTTCACTTATAAAATATAAATTTTGTTGGTATGTGCATTTATTTATTTTTACTTACCATGGTTACCACTGGCAAGTGAAATATATTTATAAGCTAGCAAACATGGCAATAACACTGTTATTGCTCTTAGGGAAGAATATTGCAAAAACTAATATGATGTTGATAGAAACACCTCTCCCAAAACTGCATCTCCCAGAGTAGGTTGCATGAGAAATAAATTCCATAGAACATGAAATTGCTTGGAGAAGACATCGCCTGGTCAAATGTTTGGGAAATACTAGGTTAAACAAAACAAAGAATGCTTCTTTGCTGCAGGGATTCTCCTAGCTTCAATATGCCAGTGACTATTGGGAAGCTCCAGGAGTGGGATACAGTACACAATATTTCCTAAACTTGTTTGCTCCAGGAACACTTGCTTTGTGGAGCACCCTGGAGGATTAGTGTTCCATGGGACACCATTTAGGAACTGCCATACATTGGCATTTAGCACCGAATTTGGTTTTGTGCTGGTGCAGCTTGTATATCTGCCCTCTTCGAGTAATCTGCACATCAATTTGGTGATGACCTTTCCAGTTATTTTGCAAGCATGGAAATCAAATTTTCAGGCCTACTAATTAGTTATGCATTTCCTTCCCATCCCTTAAAAATAGACTTTTCACCATTTCTCATCTTTAGTCACCTTCTATTCCTCTATAAGATTTTTAAACTGACAAATAGTATCCCTTTGGCCAGTTTTCTAGTACCTGTGGATTAAAATTCTTGAGATTTCTATAACCATTACATTTAAATCATTTTCAGTATCCACTTCTCCTTCCTTCCTACATTCAACAAGTATTTATTGAGCACCTGTATGTGTCAGGCACTATTCCAGTCCTGGGACACGGTTTAAACAAGACAAGGCCCCAAGAAGCTTATGTCCTTGAGACTGAATTTTCCCTGATACCATTTCATTTATCACCCAAGCAACCTGGATGGCCTGAACTCCAGTTCCATATCACTTTTTTATAGGCACAAATGGGCTAATATTACCCCATATAGGTGATTTTCAAAGACTGTCTAAAGATCCACACCTGAAGCCAAAGGGGCTCTCGTGGAGGAATTTCAGATATTGGGGCAAGTGGTAGATGGAGCTGTAATTTCAGGGAAGATGAACCTCTGGACACATGTGGTTTGAACCACTTCAAATAGAAGAAACTATGCAGAGAGGGACAAAGGGTCCTGTTTTTTCTCAAAATTATACTTCTAGAGGATACTAAGGAAATATCACCTAAGAATGGCTGTGTGTGTGTGTGTGTGTGTATATGCCTTTTTGGCACATGCATATAAAAGGAGCACAGCTTCTGTCGTCTAGTTGGAAATGGATAGCTCAAAAGTAAAGCCAATCGTGTCTAACAAACTTGACAGCAATCTGCTTTTCACACTGAAACATAAAGACTTAAATGGAACCTCTGTAATGCTAAGAGCCTTTGGAACATAAATCTATTTTGTAGCAATTTTATTGATCGTGTATTTTTAAGGTACCTCTTTAAGAGGGGCTCAGGTAGAAAAAGTACTTTTGTAGCAGTTACCACTAAGTAAACATGAGTTTTAAATGACAACACCAGACATGTAAAAAAACACAGTTTGGTGCTTTTATGTTTATACGTCATTTCATTCTTATGCCAGAGATGTGAGCTATTCCACGAGATAGTTATTATGAAATAGTTATGCAATAGCATTTCCTTGAATAGATGAGGCAACTGAGAGGTTGTGTACCTTGCTTAAGGTCATTTGGACAGAAAATGGTGGAGCCAGAACCAGAACCCAGACCTTCTGCCCAGATTCTGTGGTTGTTCCAGTGTACCCTCCACTGCCTTTCCAGGAGCCTGCTCCACCTTCCATCTGCCCACAAAGCCCTTCACACAGACCGCGCCCCCGGCTCTGGGAACTGACCACACTGGTATCCAGTTCGTTCCATTATTTCCAGCAAAGTCGGCTGACTGCTCTGACCCTAATACCAAGGACTGGACTAGAGGTGCTAGTCAGTGAATATGGTGAAGTTCCAATATAATTATTCTTTTGCTTTTTTTTTTTTTTTTAAGGTACCAAGTCTTCCAGTTTAGGGGCTTGTGAGTGGCTTCTTGTCCTCACATCCCTGCTCTTCATCATTGTGACCTTCCCTTTTTCTATCTGGTTCTGCATAAAGGTGAGATTCCATGAGGACCCAATAAGTAATTTCCTGGTGCCTCTCACTGACTGCACCATGTCCACTCTCATTTCTGTGTTTTGGTACGTGCTGTCTGCTCTGCATGGAATGCCCTCACTCCCACTCACCTTCCAGGAGAGCTCTTACTCTTTATACCTGCTCAGAGATAACTGTGAAGCCTTCCTTGACTCCTCCAGACTGTCATTCCCTTCCTTGTGCTCTCGTGTCATCCTACTTTCACATCAATTCTAGCAATTACCACATGTATAATATTTGTGGATACACAATCGCTGCCATTAGACTGAGAGCCCCTTCAGGAAAGGAGCTATGTCTAGTTCATCGACACTCTATAACACAAAGATCAGCCCAGAAGAGGTCATGATGCCTACTCCTGACACCTCCAGGAAACTTCTCAGGCAGCTTCTATAGACCACAGATGATAATTACCTTGGGCCCACAGGTGGTTACACACGGCTGTCCCTGAAGTAAATGAAGACCTGTGTCAGTTTGGGAAGCACATACCAAGATGGAATTAGAAGTGCAAGAGATTTATGGGGTGGCATTGTCTGTGAAAGATTAAGGGGAGAGAGAATAAGAGTAGGCAGGGAAAACCTTCAGAGGATGATGCAGATCTGACACCTCTGATATGAGAAGGGGAAGGAAGGATTGGACAGAGTGCCTCAGACTGTGGGATACCTCCAAGAAAGTCTTGGCCAGACTGAAAGGGAGCTCCAGAGCAAAGTTTGCCTCATAGATGAGTCTCACAATGGGCAGAAATGGCCAAGCCCTTGTATCCCTGCCATTCTTAGTCATTGGCCAGAGCTGTCAGGGAAGAGCATGTCCTTGGCTGGAACGCTACAGATGCTGCCGGGGCTGTGGCCGATTTCACTCCCCACACAAGCTCTCCTTCCTCTTCTCCTTCGTCTTTGTGAAAGGGTGTTGGATTTTGTCAAATGCCTTTTCTTCCCCCATTGAGATGATTACATGGTATTTGCCCTTTATTCTGCCCTTTATTCATTGAATTTTGGATGTTAAATCAACTGTGTATTCCTAGAATAAGTCCCACTTGGTTATGATGTATAATCCTTTTTATATATTATTGGAGTCAAGTTGCTGGTTGTTTGTTGAGGATTTTTGCATTTATATTCATGAGAGATACTGGTCTGTAGTTTTCTTGTCTTGTGATATCACTGTCTTGTTTTGGTATCAGGGTAATACTGGCCTCAGAGAATGAGTTGGAAAGATTTCCCTCCTCTTCTATTATTTGGGAGAATTTGTGAAGAACTGGTATTAATTCCTCTTTAAATATTTGGCAGAATTTACCAGTGAAGCCATCTGGTCCTGGACTTCTCTTTGTGGGAAAATTTTAAACTACTAATTCAATCTTTTAATTTTGGGTCTTTTTCATTTTTCTTTTTCTTCTCGAGTCAGTTTTGATAGTTTATGAATTTGTTTAGGAATTTGTTTAGGAATTTGTCCATTTCACCTGTTACTAATTGGTATATAGTTGTTCACAATATTTTCTTTTATAATCTTTTTTATTTCTGTAAGGACAGTAGTGATGTCTCTGTCATTCCTCTTTGACTCCTGATTTCAGCAATTTGAATCTCCTCTCTTTTCTCTTGGTCAGTCTCGCTAAGTATTTGTCAATTTTGTTGATCTTGTCAAAGAACCCACTTTTGGGTCAGTTGATTTTCTCTGATGTTTTCTATTTTCTATTGCATTTATTTCCACTCTAATCTTTATTTTCTTCTTCCTGTTTACTTTGGGTTTACTTTGTGCTTCTATTTCCAGTACATTAAGGTAGAAAATTAGGGTATTATTTTGAGATATTTCTTCTCTTTTGTTATAGGCATTTACAGCTATAAATTTTCCTTTAAGCACTACTTTAGTTACATTCCATATGTTTTGGTACCTTGAGGTTTTGTTTTCATTCATCTCAAAGTGTTTTGTTTTTTTTAATAAACTTTATTTATCATTGTGTTCTGAATTTACAGCATTTTAAAAATTTATTTACTTTTTATTTATTTTTGGCTGCATTGGGTCTTTGTTGCTGTGTGCGGGCTTTCTGTAGTTGCAGTGAGCCAGGGCTACTCTTTGTTGCAGTGCACAGGCTTCTCATTGTGGTGGCTTCTCTTGTTGTGGAGCATAGGCTCTAGGCACGCAGGCTTCAATAGTTGTGGCTCGCAGGCTCTAGGGCGCAGGTTCAGTAGTTGTGGCACACAGGCTTATTTGCTCCACGGCATGTGGGATCTTCCTGGACCAGGCTCGAACCCATGTCCCCTGCATTGGCAGGCAGATTCTTGACCACTGCGCCACCAGCGAAGTCCCTCAAAGTGTTTTTTAATTTCTTTTGTGATATCTTCTTTGACCTATCAGTTATTTTAGAGTGTGTGATTTGATTTCCATATATATGTGAATTTCCCAAATTTCCTTCTGTTATCAATTTCTAATTTCATTCCATTGTAATCAGAGAATATACTTAGTGTGGTTTCAATCCTTTTAAATTTATTGAGTTTTTTTTATGGCCCAGCATATGGTCTGTCCTGGAGATGTTTCATGTGTGCTTGAGAAGAATATGTATTCTGCTATTGTTGGGTGGAGTTATGCATAGCTATCTGTTAGGTTTAGTTTGTTTATAGTGTTGTTCAAGTCTTTTCTTTCCTTGTTGACCTTCTGTTTAGTTGTTTTATCCATGATTGAAAGTGGGATAGTAAAGTCTCCAACTTTTATCATTGAATTGTCTATATCTACCTTCAGTTCTTTTGGTTTTTGTTTTATATATGTTGGAACTCTATTTTTAGGTACATATATGTTTACCATTGTTATACTTTCCTAACACATTGGCCATTTTATCGTTACACAATGTCCCTCTTTATCACTAATAACATTTTTGCATGTTTGTTTTAAACTTCATTTTGTCTGATATCGGTATAGTCACTCCTACTCTCTTTTGGTTACTCTTTGTGTGGTATAGTTTTTTCTCTTTTTACTTTCAACCTATTTGTATATGTAAATAGAAAGTGTATCTCCTACAGACAACATATAGTTGGCTACAGGCTCTTCCTGAAGGGTGATCTGAGCACCTGCATGGCTGCCGTAAGGTCTGTAAATAGCTAATGAGTGATGCATGTAAAAGCTCATAATGCATCAGTCATGGCAATATACAAGATGAAATATGCTGTGACTACTTTGATTGGTGGAACCAATTATTTTTTAGATAACCATGACTCTCTGATCAAAATTCTGTCCACAGTCTCAAAAATTTTATACTTTTTCATTGGTTTCTGAAATTCTTCATTTACTAAGTATATATTTTAGAAATGTAAGTATTAACAGAAATTTTTTCTTGGTTCTCAAAGCCAAAGATTTCTGATACCTAGGATCACCCTCACACCAGGGTCTTCTGAAGACTTCATTTTAATCTCTTGGAGTGATTCAAAAGTATTAAATTTTCCTTTAGGTTATACAGGAGTATGAGAGAGTAATTATATTCCGACTGGGACATCTGCTTCCTGGAAGAGCCAAAGGCCCTGGTAAGAATGATCTTTTTTACCCCCCCAGAGACTTGCCAATTTCTTCAATCCATGCATGTTTGTAATACAGCCCTCAGATTACATGAAGTAACTTGATTCATGATATCTTCATTTTTCAATCTGTTACTTGTAACACAGGTTATTAAGAAATTCTTCAGAGAGCATTACTACCAGGTCACAGTGACCAAAAGAGAGAGTGGATGCAAAAAGCTGAATGCCAGGGCCAGGCTGGCTGGAGTAGCAAGTAGGCTAGGACCTAAGACCAGGCACTGGTTTGAGTAGAACATGTAAGTGGTCTGAGTCCTGTGAATTCTCAGAGCAAAACTGAGCTAGTTCAGGATCCAGGGAATCAGAACACACCAGGCTAGATAGGCAAAGTTCAGCATCCAAGTAACAAATTGGCCTTCAGTTCATGGAAATTTAAGAAACATAGATTAAGCACTTCCCGTGTTTCATTGTTTAACTACAAAGGATATGAAGATGGATGAATTAGACATGGTCTCTAGTCTCTAGGACCTTAAAGTCTTACAGAGTTTGTACCCAGAAGTCCAAGCTGATTATGGGGCACAGATAGAAGTATCGTTAGTTTGAAAAGTCTAATAGTTGGGGTTTGAAGAGCTAATCCAGAAAGACATGAGAAGAAGCAAAGTCCCACTGTGCACAGATTGGAAAGGGTCCAAGTTCCAAGCCAGCTCTACAGAAACAGATAGAGAATAGACACCAGACTAGGAGACACAAATCAGTTTGAAGATTCAGAGCCAACAGATTGGTTCACACAAAAACAGAACCAGACCCTGTAGTTCCAGAACAGGGACTGCCTTGTTCTGGTTCTAGTTTTTGGTATCCTTCTCGACTGGGTCTGAGAAGGGCTAGTAGCTGGGTGGCTCCTCAGGGAGATCATGGGTGCTTGAGGTACTGCTGATTCCAACAAAGCTTTGGCTCTTGTACAAGCCTACAGTGTCCAATGGTCTCTCAGAAAATCTCAATAAATCAATCTAAAATATTGATTGCACATTGACCCTATACATTATATGGGGTGGGTGAGGACTAACTAGCCAACCAGAAGGCTGGTATCATGATGTTGCTATTCTGATTCCTTTGGGGCTCACATTTTAAGAAATACCACATGGAGGTTTCTGGCTCTAAAGTTCTTACACACGTGGATTCAAGAAATAGTTTTGCAGAGCACCTAAAAGGCACTAAGGCTAACAGGAATGCATAAGATGCTCTTGTTATAGAGTTTAAATCTAGTGAAGGAGACAGATGTGTAACCCAATATCTGGACAGGTCAGTACCATGACCAAGGTGACCATACAGCCCATTTTGCTGGGGATAATCCCTGTTTATGCCTGTTGTCCTGGTGTAAGTCATAATAGTGCTCTCCTTTCACCCTCAAAAGTGTCCCAGCTTGAACAACAAATTATTTGGTAGCCTTAGTAACAACAAACACACCATGGGTGGAGGTGGGATATGGGGAGGTCTATGGGCAGTTGGAGGCTAAGAAAAGCAATGCAACATGCAACTTGATGCCAAAAGAGTGAACCCCAAATGGCCTCCATGCTAGCCATTCACCTGTCACTTCCCCTGCCCCCTCTTCTAGGCCTTTTCTTCTTTTTGCCCTGCCTGGATACCTACCACAAGGTTGACCTTCGCCTCCAAACCTTGGAGATACCCTTTCATGAGGTAAGCCAAGTGGTGGCTTTTGCTTTCTTTCTACATTTTCCCTGGCCGAGCTACCACTTCTGGCCCAGAGGAAAATGACTATTTTTGCTCAAAAGTAGAAAAGAAAAAGAGATATGGGCTACATCAAAATTTAAAACTCCTTTACAACAAAGGACACAATCAACAGAATGAAAAGGCAACTTACAGAATGGGAAAAAAACTGCAAATACTATATCTGATAAGAGGTTAATATCCAGAATATATAAAATCTTATAACTCAACAACAAGAAAGCAAACAATCCAATTAAAAATGGACAAAGGCCTTTGTGATGGTTAATTTTATGTGTCAACCTGGCTAAACCATGGTACCCAAATATTTGGTCAAATACATCTAGATGTTGCTATTAAGGTATTTTTTTTTAGATAAGATTAATATTTAAATCAGATGACTTTGAGTAAAGCAGATTGTCCTCCATATATGGTAGATAGTATATATACTTGACTTGAATAGACATTTCAATACAGACTTGAATAGACATTTCTCCAAAGCAGATATACAAATGGCCAAAAAACACATGAAAAGATGCTCCACATCACTAATCATCAGAGAAATGCAAATCAAAAACACAATGAGATACCACCTCACATCTATCAGGATGGCTCTTATTAAGAAAAAAACAGAAAATAATAAGTGTTGGCAAAGATGTAGAGAAATTGGAACCCTTGTATACTGTAGGTGGGAAGGTAAAATGGTGCAGCTACTGTAGAAAACAGTATGACAGTTCCTCAAAAAATTAAAAATAGAATTACCATATAATCCACCAATTCTACTTTTGGGTATAAATGCCAAAGAATTGAAAGCAGGGTACTGAAGAGACGTTTGTATACCTATGTCCATAGCATCATTTTTTTTCACAATGGCCAAAAGGTGGAAGCAATCCACATGCCCATTGATGGCTGAATAGATAAACAAAATGTATATGCCGACAAAGGAATAATAATCAGCCTTAAAAAGGAAAGAAATTCCGGCATATACTACAACATGGCTGAACCTTGAGAAAAGTATGCCAAGTGAAATAAGCCAGTCACAAAAAGACAAATACTGTATGATTCCATTTATATGAGGAACATAGAGTAGTGAAATTCAGAGCAACAGAAAGTGAATGATGGTTGCGGGGACTGCCGGGAGGAGAGAATGGGGAATTGTTCACCAGTTTTCAGTTTTGCAAGATGTAAAGAGTTCTGGACACTGGTTGCCCAACAATGTGAATGTACTTAACACTACTGAATTGGCACTTACAAATGGTTAAGATGGTGAATTTGATGTTTTGTGTATTTTACCACAATTAAAAGTTAAATGTAGAGATAACATCTAGACTTTCCTGTTACTGATTCAGATTTATAAGCCTTTCCTAAACTGTCTCCCACTTTCAGTCTGAGGTTCTTTCTCATTCTTTCTTTTGGTAAATGGAAATGTGAATAAAAATAATATACTTTTAAAAGGCTTATTTTATATAATAAAATATAAAAAGGAGTAAAACTTATACCTAACCCTATCACCCATAGAGTTGATATTTTAGAATGTATCCTTTCAGACTTTTCTATATATGTGGTTGTAGTTTCAGACATATATATGTGTGTGCATTTGTTTGTATATATATATATCACACCATACATACTATTTTGCAACATGTCTTTTTTCACAATCTATTGTTATCACCTTTTCATATATTACCTATGTTTCTACCTCTTTGTTTTAAACAGACACACAGCATTTCATTGTATGGATTTTACTCAACTAATTGAGTAATTGGAATTTACTCAACTAATTCCCTATTGTTGATATTATTTCTACTTTTTTTATTACAATAAGCAATACTATGAATCATATCCTTGCAGCTAAACCCTTGAAATATACCCTTGTGATTAATGTCTAAAAATGGAAATGTTGTGCACATACATCTTTTAGGGCTTTTGATATGTATCACCAAACTGCCCTCTAGATGCACACTCAATACATTTGAGCGCTTGTTTCCCAGAACATGTTGCTCTTTTAGGAGATTTTTTTGGCATCGGTTTTAAAAGACCTGATATACAATCAACTGAATGTTTTCATGTAAGAAAATTATTCCTGATTTTTTTTTTACAAAAGGATTTATAAGATTCCTTGAAATTGTGAGTTCTTTAGTGTATTTAATACAAACTCCATAATTTAAAAAAAAACACGTCTATTTTGATTAAAGGGCGAGCCAACTACTCTTTCTTCTTACCATCATCTTACGCTGAGAAAATACCCTTTGAACATATTTAGCTCCTCTATCCTCATGTGGGAAAGGAACCCAAGAATCAGGGTTGTCATCCAAATTTTTTTTCTGCCTAGGTTGTAACCAAAGACATGTTTGTAATGGAGATAGACGCCATCTGCTACTACCGAATGGAAAATGCCTCTCTTCTCCTAAGCAGTCTTGCTCATGTGTCCAAAGCGGTCCAATTCCTTGTGCAAACCACCATGAAGCGTCTCCTAGCACATCGATCCCTCACTGAAATTCTTCTAGAGAGGAAGAGCATTGCACAAGATGTAAAGGTACTTAGATGAATTTAACACCAAGTATGCTGAAGTATCCCTTTATCTTTTATTCCTTTCTTCATTGGCCATTTACTGAATCTTCCATGTGCCATGCATTCAAAGGTACCGTCCTGTAAGGAGCTGACAGTTAAGAGGTTGCCAAATTGACCCTGAGCCAATCATAGGCACCAATCTGTGCTGATTAGTCAGTCATTGCCACAGTTTTTGTTCTCAAAACAAAAAGTGGCTTTAGACTCATTGTAAAGTGCCACATAGCACAAGGTGGTGGGGCTGGCAGGGGTGGTGGGGCTGGACAGGGTGGGGTGGTGGGACACAGAGATGATAAGGAATGCATCTTGGGACCTTACAGTCTAGTTGGGGAAACAAGCAAAGTTAGATAATGATAAGTTCAAATAAGACTTTCAGATGAAAAGAGGTAAGATGTCACAGACCCTTATGTGATTCATTACCCAATCCATCACCTAGATTTGATTGAGTTGGAATGATAGGAGGGAGAGAAAAGCAAGAGCTGCCTCACAAGCAGCAGCGTCTAGGCCGCAGGCAGCAAGCTCAGCGACCTTGCCCACAACCAGGGTAGGCATCTTCACTTCTTACCAAGACAAGCTGGCAAAGGTATTCAGAAGAGAGATGAGAACAAAGCAGCATTCTAGGCAGCTGGCCAGTCGGGTGGCAATTACCACCAGTGACGGAGCCTGTCATTGAGGCCATGAGGCGCCCAAGCCCAGAACTGAGTTCGGAGGCTATGACTCGAGTCTAGCTGAAGGAAGACCTCAATAGAAGGAACTAAGGATCGAAGGCATTGATAATGATTGTGCCTGATGGGGCCTGAGCAGACACAGCTGAGAAAATGAAGTATCCAAATGTTCGTGACATCTCCAATTCATCACTGATAAAACTGGGACTAGCATCCTAGTGGAAAAAGGAAGAATTCAGGAAATAAGAGAAGCTGAAAGGAGAAGAAGTTAGAACAAGAAGACACAGGGGAGTTGCTGCTCTGGAATTTAAAAAGCACTCACGTTGCTCCCCTCTGCCTTCCCTTCAGCCTCTCTTCCTGTTCATCCCTCCCCTCCAAAGGATAAAGGATAAGGTCCAGACACTTGACATTCAAGCTTGCCCTTGTTATGTTGAATTATAATTTATGTATTTACACATTTTTCTTCCCATGCCATGAACTCCATAATGTCAGGGGTCATATTTTATTCATCTTTTGTCCTCAGTACCTGGCATGGGGCTGTTACACAGCAGCCAGATACTGGGTTTTTGGATGAGCGGATAAATGACCCAACTGTTGTAGCCTCACCTCTTGCTGTCCTTCCCCCAGTGTATCTAATCCTCCAGCGGACTTAGTGTTTCTCCGGTGTTCAGTGAGTCTATGCTTCCATGCCTGCTCTTAGGCTGTTCCTCTGTACCAAATATTTCCCTTTTCCCTACAGGCAAAATCATATTGTTCTTTAAGATGTCACCTCCTCTATGAAGTCTTTTTCAACATTCCTTCCTCCCATCAACCCCCTAAATTAGTCTTATCAGGGTTCCCAATGCACTATTTATCTAGCCACCAAGAAATCATCAGAAATAAGTTAAAAAGGAAAAAGAGTATGGCCCGCATATTGCTCCATGCCCTGCCCCCCTTTCCAGAACACACAATTCATTTTCTTCCCACTCCTGGGATGGGGAGGTGGGGAAGATGCGTGCCGCCAACAGGAAGTGAAAGCACCTGTAAATGAATATCATATGGAAGAGAATATCATATGAGAGAGAGACTAAAGATTTTGGTTCTCTAATAAATGCATTTTAGGACAAATTTAGCAAATATACCATCTCTATTATTTCCTATTGCTTCTGTAACAAATTACCACCAACTTGACGGCTTAAACTACCACCAATTTAACCTTACAGTTTTTTTTTAAAAAATATCTATTTATTTATTGGCTGCATCGGGTCTTAGTAGCGGTGCGCAGGCTCTTGGTTGTGGCGCACGGGCTTAGTTGCCCTGCGGCACATGGGATCCTAGTACTCTGAACCCGCGTCCCCTGCACTGGAAGGCAGATTCTTTACCACTGGACCACCAGGGAAGTCCCAACCTTACAGTTTTGAAGGCCAGAAGTCCAAAAGAAGTTTTACTGGGCCAGAGTCAAGGTGTCAGTCAGCAGGACTGGGTCCTTCTGGAGGTTTTGAGAGGAGAATTCATTTCCTTGCCTTTTTCAGCTTCAGGTGACCACCTGCATTCTTTAGATCATGGTCCCTTCCTCCATCTTAAAAGCACAGCACTCCAACCTCTGCTTCCATCATCACACCACCTTCTCCTCTTCTGTAGCCAGATGTCCCTCCACTTCCCTCTTATAAGGACACTTGCAATTGCTTTTAGGGCCCACCAGCAAGATTCAGGATAAACTCCTCATTTTAACAGCCTGGAACTTAATTGCATCTGCAAAGTCTCTTTTGGGGTAACACTCACAGGTTCCAGGGATTAGGGCATGGATGTCTTTATGAGCCATTCGTCAGCCTACCACACCATCTTTAATTCCACAAATATTTGTTGAGTGGCACTGTGCAAATTAAACAACTTTTGCAAGGCCCTATAACGTTAAAACAAAACAGGGAAGTACATAATGAGAAATGTGCTTTCTCAGTGCAATGGCTATCGGTGCATAGGGGTGCTCTCCTCCCACCTGGAGGTTCTTACTGACATCTAAACTCTTCCCTCCACAGGTTGCCTTGGATGCAGTGACCTGTATTTGGGGAATCAAAGTGGAGAGAACAGAAATGTGGGTAGGAAATTAACCAGGAAGAACAATATGATAAAGGGAGATATTTAGGTTTTATTCAAAACTTCTATTTGAAAAATTACTTTCATTGAATGAGTACTGTAGCCATATTGGCATAAATTTGGAAGAAAGAAAAAAATTTACCTATTATCTCATAGCCATAACATAACCACTGTAACATCTGGGCAAATTACTTTCATATTTCTATGGATTTAAACATTTTTAAAAGATAAAATTCACATAACATAAAACTCACCATTTTTAACCATTTTAAATTACAACTCAGTGGTTTTTAGTATATTCACAGAGTGATGCAACCACCACTACCATCTAATTTCAGAATATTTTTATCATCTACAAAAGAAAGTCTGCATCCACTAAGCAGGAATTCTTCATTGCCTCCTCAACCCCTAGCCCCTGACAACCACTAATCTACTCTCTGTCTCTCTGGATTTGGCTATTCCAGGAATTTAATATAAATATTATAATCACACAATCCGTGGCCTTCTGAGTCTGGCTTCCTTCACTTACCTTAATGTTTTCAGCATCCAACCATGGTGTAGCATGAATCAGTACTTCATTCCTTTCTATGGTCGAATACTATTCTATTGTGCAGCTGGCTATACCACATTTTGTTTATCTACTCATCAGTTGATGGACATTTGGGTTGTTTCCACTTTGGGACCATTATGAATCATGCTGCAATGAACATTCATGTGCAAGTTTTTGTGTGAACATGTTTTCACTTCCCTTGGGTATATACCCAGGGGTGGAATTACTGGATCATATGGTAACTCCATATTTAACTTTCTGAGGAACTGCCCATTTTTCTATCTATGTATTTTTTTATAGTTACAATCAGGGGGAAAATACAATTTTGTATCTTTCATGCAATACATTAAGTATTGTTCTCATTTGGTCAGTTCTACCCTTTTCAAAATCAGTTCTCTTTTATAAACTTAGATGACTTCCCTCATTATTAATAGTACGGCTCTTCGAGGCTGTTCTTCATTATTGAAATTTAACAGCCGGGATTTAGATTAAACTTTAAGTGGGAAAATGTTCGTAGTATATCAACACAAAATTTGTTTCACTTGTAAAGAGAAAACCATAACTCTACTATAGCATCAGTGATAAGAAAAATCAGCCTTTGAGGCACTGCCCTGAAGCTGCTCTTCCCTGCCCACTGTCTGCGCAGAGGTCAGGGGCCACACACGCTGCTAAATCAGGATTCGCTGTGCGTCATGAAATGACAGCAGAGAAGGTGGCAGGTCTGTACAAAAGCTCCGGTTGCTAAAAGCAGTGCTGCACACCTACCTACCCATGCCCTTTCTCTTTCAGTAAGGATGTGAGGCTGCCAGCCGGGCTGCAGCACTCGCTGGCCGTGGAGGCCGAAGCACAGAGACAGGCCAAAGTGCGGGTGAGCCAGCCCTGAGCAGGCCGTCCTCCTGCACGGCTGCTCCTTGAGGATCCCCAGAGAATCCAAAAGAAGGCCTCCTCGTGGAGAACATTTCCCCTTCGCTCCTCACCTATTCATCCAGGCGCTGGGGGGAATCTGGCTCATACCCACACCACTCTATTAAAATTGCTCTCCTCAAGTGTGTTAACAGCCTCCTAACTGACCAACGTAAGGTCTCTTTTCCTGTTACTCCCTCTCTCTGAAGTTATTGGTAACAGTGACCTGCTCCTTGAATCTTGCCTTCTCCCTCTCTCCCTAAAGGCATCTCCCCGTGCTCCATCCCTCTTCTCTAGCACTGGCATCTTTCCCTGGGTAATATCAGTCACCTGTCACCTCTAGGTTAATGACACCCCGACCTGTATCCCTAGCCCTGCACAAGCTCTGGAGGGACAACCACGATCAGGGCCCAATTCCCTCAACGCCAGAGCTGAGAGAAGGCTGTGCTACTCATAGCCTCTACTCAGGCATGCCAGGGAGAAGGTGTGGCTGCCGGCAGCTCCTGAGGATTGAGGTGTGGGTGGGAAGGGTGTTGGGAAGAGAAAATGAGGACTGGAGGGGAGGTGGATTTCCCTTAAAGAACAGAACGTAGGTAAAGAAAAACCCCTAACTATGTAAGAGGGTGGATAACTTTGGAGCTTTGGTGGAGGAGGAAGGCAGTCCTCTGGGCAGAGTTGCTTCTGGATCTCTGAGTCCAGTGCCCTTTGCCCACTTTAAGGCGACACCTTTCCTCTAAATGGCAAAATCCTACTACTCTTCCAAGGCCCACCAGACATAGTAACTCCCCTAACACTTCCTCTATACTTGTCATGGCCCTTAAAAACTTCTACCCTAAATTACAATTAACAGTGTAATCTCTCTGCCTAAATCAAGATCCTTAAGAACAAAAGATAGTCTGCTCACCTGTCACACAGTAGATACTAGTGCTTGTTTGTTGAGTCACGCTAAGTAGGATTAAAACCTTCATGGAGCGAAGAAGAAAAATCACTTTGCTTTTCTTCACATCCCTTGTCTAGATGATCGCTGCAGAAGGGGAGAAGGCTGCGTCCGAGTCCCTGAGGATGGCAGCCGAGATTCTATCAGGCACTCCAGCTGCTGTTCAGCTTCGGTACCTCCACACCCTGCAATCCTTGTCCACAGAGAAACCTTCCACAGTGGTTTTACCTTTGCCATTTGACTTGCTAAATTTCCTGTCTTCTCCAAGCAGTAGAACTCAAGGAAGCATCCCTTTACCAAATCCTTCCAAACCTGTTGAGCCACTGAACCCTAAAAAGAAAGACTCTCCCATGTTATAGGAGGAAACAAGGATAATGTGACTGCAAAGAGGGCTGCCATATAACAGCTACAGCCCTAAGCAAGGCCCTCTGTCCTCACTTCCTGCCCTTTGGTTGCCATGTGGAATGCCCTTGGAATGTATGAAGTCACAATGCAGCAACACACGAGAAGACAGTGAAATCATGTAATGACAGAGAAGCCATATAACATGCTTAGGTGGATCATCTAATCAGAGTAATTATGGGAAAGAGCTTTAGCCAGCATTCTACTTTGGAAAGAATTTTGAGTCTATATGTGGCTAAATTTTGACTTCTGAAGATGTAGTTCAAACGTCCTTTTCTCTGTATGCCCTCTGGTCCCTTTGGCAAGGTCTTTGTTGCTCCCACAGCCCTTTCTACATGTCCCTATCATTATGCTTATCACACTCTGTTGTAATCTTGAGATGCAGGCTTCTCTCCAACTCTCCATGCAAGTGACACTTCCGTGTTTCTGAGTGAATGAAAGAAAAAGAGATGTACTTGGGCTGGATATAAAATTTACACCTAATTAAAGAACTTAAAAGGAATTATTTTTATAGAGACTCTTTTTTTTAAATAGAGAAATAAAAGGACAAAAACATTTATCTGGTATATGTGGCTTAAAATCTGAGGAAGCATCACTATAAATATGGGGCTGATGTATTTTCAGGGTTGGCCCATACCCATCCCAGTGTACTGGTTTATTGGAGTTAAGGTAGCATCAAGGGTTGCTGGTCACTTTTCACCCCCATATGGATGGTTCCTGATTTCAGGTTGGCAAATGTTGGCAAGAGCAATGAAGGAGGAGGTAGGGCCATGCTGGTTCAGGCATGACCAGAAGCAGGAACAGAACAATAAGTGAATGCCAGGGTAGTAATGCAACAAGGGCCTTTATGATCCTTAATAATTCCTTTTAGCAAGGTTCTTTTTGTCAAAGGCAGATTTGCCTATATATCTGAGTGTCTGTGGTATCACCCATTGGTTGGTCTCCTCTGATGTCTGTCTCTAGTCAACATTTAAATTGCTCATTACCTTGCAGAGGCACCTTCCAGATCTGCTTGAGTAGTCTACGGTATCTTTAGGTACTTCCCAGCTGTTAAGGTAGGAGGGCTTAATGGGAAAGAATAATGGGGATAAGCGGCTATGAAACTGTGTGCTAGGTGAAAGGGTATAATGAATAGTCAAAGGCAAATTCTTCAGAGACCAGTTAGGTGAGTTGATAGTGTTGTCCACAAGGTCCTAGCAGCAGAAATCTTCTCTTGAGACCCAGGTGCTGTATTCCAACTGGTTACTGATCTTGAAATGATAGGTAGAGGACAAACTGAACAGTATAATCCAAATCTAGGATACATACTAGGGATACATACAGTTTTTCGCTGGAAATTTACAGAGTGGCAGTGTCTGAGTCAGTTCAGGCTGCTATAACAGAATTCCATAGACTGGGTGGTTTATAAACCACAGAAACTTATTTCTTGCAGTTCTGGAGCCTGGAAAGTATAAGATCAAGATGCCAGCAGATTTGGCATCTTGTGAGGGCTCACTTCCTGGTTCATAGCCAGCTGTCTTCTCACTATATCCTCACATGGCATAAAGGGGAAGAGAGTCCTTGGGGGTCTCTTTTATAAAGGCACTAGTCCCATTCACGAGGGCTCCACCATCATGACCTAATCACCTACCAAACACTAATACCATCACCTCCTAATACCATCACACTGAAGGTTAGGATTTCAACATATGAATTTGGGGGGTGGGGTGGGGGGAGGACACAAACATCCAGTCTATTGCAGGCTGTAAGCTGATAAAAGGGATAACATATTCTAACTTGGTATTGGAGTACACCACAACCAAACAACATGGTTGTAAGAGTGGAACAAGTCTATGACAATGGTATTCCAGGGCATTTGGGGATTGACAGTGACTCTGGTCTAGACCTGCATTTATTGCGCAGGCATGTGACTTAAGGGCTGGTGTACTGCAGGTTGTTGGACTCCAAATCACCAGAAAGAGGTCATCCTTTTTTATAGGACTAGAACAAATAATCCTAAAATTTACATAGAACCACAAAAGACCCAGAATTGCCAAAGCAACCCTGAGAAAAAAAAACAACGCTGGTGGCATAACCCTCCCAGACTTCAGACTATACTATCAAGCTCCAGTAATCAAAACAGTGTGGTACTGACACAAAAATAGACACATAGATCAATGGAACAGGATAGAAAGCCCAGAAATAAACCCATGCACCTATGGTCAATTAACCTTCAACAAGAGAGGCAAGAATATACAATGGGGAAAAGACAGTCTCTTCAACAAGCGGTGTTGGGAAAGCTGGACAGCTACATGTAAATCAATGAAATTAGAATACTCCCTCACACCGCATACAAAAATAAACTCAAAATGGTTTAAAGACCTAAATGTAAGACATGACACCATAAAACTCCTATAAGAGAATATAGGCAAAAAGTTATTTGACATAAATCATAGCAATATTTTCTTAGATCAGTCTCCCAAGGCAAAAAAAATAAAAGCAAAAATAAATGGGACCTAATCGAATTTAAAAGCTTTTGCATAGCCAATGAAACCATCAACAAACTGAAGAGACAACCTATGGAATGGGAGAAAATATCTGCAAATGATGAGACCAACAAGGGGTTAATAACCAAAACATTGAAACAGCTCATACAACTCAAAAAAACACAGAGGGTCATCCTAAGGGGGCTTAGCAGGCCTACCTTAGAACTTCAAGGGCAACCCCAGCTCACCAGCATATCAGGGTAATGCTGGAGCTCTGCAGTTTGGACTCCCCTATATCTGGAAGGCCTAGCAGGTCATTCTGCCAATGCCTCTGTGTTCCATATTCTTGGAGATCATGTCTGGATGATAAAGTATGTTCCTCCTCATTAGATTGCTCCTGGCTGCTACAATGTTCTTTGGCAGAGTCTATCAGGACTGTGCAGGTTCTGATGTCCTCTAGAATTTTGGCTTGTGTGTCAATGCCATTGCTGAGTATTTGAGCTGAGCAATAAGTAGAGAATGTAGAAGTCAAATTCCTTCAAAGAGGGTTCATCAACTGCGCTTCTAGCTTTTCCTGAACTTGGGGAGGAAAAGTAGCACTGTAACTGAGAGCTTGGACTCTGCTGTCAGATATACCAGATTTGATCCAGACTCTGTAACTTATTAGATGTTTAATCTTGGACATGCAACTTATCCTGACATAAATGGGGATAAAAGTAGAACCCACCTCACAGAGTTGTTGTGACTAAATGCGATAATACATGTGAAGTGCTTAGCACAGTGCTTACATGAGGTAAATGCTCAATAAACCATGACTATTACTATATTTCTGGTTTTAGCCCAGTAGCTCTAAATGACAGTAATTGGGCTCAACCAAATGGGAGCCTGGCCTCGTATACAGGTTGTTGTCCCCAGGCTTCAAAGGTAGCCCCAATGGCTAGGAGCTCCTGTCCCAGGGTTGTTGTTCTTGGACAGAACCAGCTTAAGAGTTTGTATATGAGGTCTCCTGTATTAGAATCCTCCCCACAATATTTCAAGCATTTGTTTCAAAGGTGTAGAGCTCTTTAGCATGATAGTAAAGCAAAATCTAGACAGAAGAGAAGAGTTTCTTCTCTTGATGAGCAATAGTTCCGGCCAGAAATCAGATACACTCTTCTTTCTTACCTGGGTTTGACTATTTGGGTGGCCAGAGTGGAAAATGGGAATGGATTACCAGCTGTACCTTGTGAACTTCAGGATCTGCTGGACATCTGGGATGGAAATATCTTGTCTGCCAAAGAGCAGTTTGCCTTGGTGAGACAGATGATGGGAACTGTTAATCTTATCTTCAGACTTTCAAAATTGTTTCTCACAGCTGGCCTAGAGATAGCCTGAAGTATGCCTCTGTCAGATCAGGGGCTCATGGAACCCAACCCCTGCAAGTACAAGAGGATGCCCTCCAAACAAAAGCCACTGCAATCCAGAAAGGCATGCAGGAGCCCTTTCATCAGCCATTCCAGAACAACTGGAACACTGCCCAGGCCAAATGACATTGCTGTGTACTGGGATTGTCTAGGGAGCGTCTGGAAGGCTGCCTTCACTGGTCTTGCTCTCAGATGCACCACCTAAGAAGTCCTGCTTTCTGAAAAGCTGTACGTGGCAGAGCCCATCTTTGAGGTCAGGGGGATTGGTGGACTTGCTCAACAGTCCTGAATAGGAGATTGTCTTGAGGCTGTGGCAGACCTGGCTGGAATGAACTCTCCATTCTCCTGAGGCAGAGGTAGAAGTCCTGATGAATTCTAGACACTGCTTCCCATCAATATGGCTACAGAGGACCTCAGCCTCAGGCACAGATAGCAAGCACTCCTGTTTTGGAGGTATGCAGGCCCTAGGCAACAGCGCTACAGCAGTTAGACTCCTAATTTTAGAGCAGCTCCTCTGCTTCCTGTGGGGAAATGTTTGCTGGTAGGTGGCACACTTATTTAAAATTCCACAAGTGGGCAAATAGTGCTCTAGAGAGTTGGGGCCTACAAGCAGAATTCTCAGCAGTCTTTGAAAGTGAAATGCAAAATGTAGGTTCCCCAGGCAATATCAGAGTCACTGATCTCCAGCTAGGAAAGGCCAAGAACAAGAGGAAAGCCCAGTCAATGTGTGCCAGAAAGCACCTGACAAGTGACCTGACCACAGTCAAGTCAGTAGGACCATAGCAGAGGACCAGAACTCTTGGGAGAGAATCACACAGTGCCCACATGCATGGAGTTGGTCTGGGTGTGTGATGAAGAACCAGGCCCGGTGGACTGGGGACTTGCTCCAAGTTCTAGGATTCCTAAGACACTACCACCTTGGCTTCCCAGGGACGTGGACCACATCACCACTGAGACTGGGGACTGGGACCCAGTGGAGTGTGATGAGGCACCTCCAGTCAGCACGGCTGTCTGGACATCTGAACACAGAGTGGCTGGTCTCCTTCAACACAAGCACAACAGCCTCACCTGGCAGCCCCACGGACAGAGAAGTGTAGCAAGAGCTCCTCTCTCCACTCTGCTCAGGAGACCACCTCAGGGTGACCTTGAGATGTGGCAGGACTCAAGGACTATCTAAAACTTCCCACACATCAGCTACTTGGGAAAGTGGAGGCTGCCCATGATAACTTTCAGGGAGCAGCAGTGCAGAGGCCTTCTCTGTAGCATACTTTTTTTTTTTTTTTAACCACCTAACATTCATGATGCCTTCCTACCAGCCTCCTGATTCTCTTTGGGCATTTCCTTCCCCCAGACTGTGTTCTGTCTTGGTGGAACAGCAGAGCAAGGTGTCCTTGCTTCCCTTTAAGGAAGCTAAAGAGATCCCTGAAGTCTTCTCACCATCCCTGGTACATCCATGGGGTGGTCTGTGACTACGAGGTAGCCTTTCTCCCTCATGGGACTTTAAGAATAATGTAAGGATGGAAGAGATGACTGGTGTTCATTTGGTGGTAGCAACTGGGTGAGATGGTGAAGCAGTTCTTGCTTCTGAAATCTAAAACTACCTCATCCTATCTGTTCCTAGCCTGATTCTTTAAGACTTTCCTTCAATCTCCTGAGCTCCCCAACGTGCTTTCAATAAATTATCCTTTTGCTTGTGGTAAGAATGGCTTTTTGTGGCTCACAACCAAACCACCCCAACTAGGTCTATGGTACCAAACATCTCATTCTAATCGTAGTGGCACCAGGCATAACTCTGACCTTTAAGACAGCCTTCCACCCGATGGAGCGGACACATTCTGAGGGGCAAGACGCTCATGTTCAGGGATGGGGGCTGCTGGTTTGTATGGAAATGATGACTCATTCCTACAAAGTAGGAAATTAATTTTTTTAAAAGTAGGCTGAAATCCCACTAAAAAGCCCCAAATTTGCTAGAATCATTCAAGAATCTCTTCAGGAAAGTGAAAAGGGTAGGGCTGGCTCTGCCCCAGCAAGTGGTAACTGGAAGCACAAGCCAGTAGCCTGAGCTGTGGCTTTCAGCTGGGCCATGAGCCTAGTCAGCTGTCTGAAGAATTTCATGTTTTCTTTCCCCAGAATTAAGAAGTCATCCAGTAGGCTTAGACTGACCCCAAACATTTTGGAGACCCACCTCACAAACACTTTGATATGTGTGGGCAAAGGCAGGCCTGACCAGTGGTTGGGCTTCAACAGGGCTGAGGACTCTAGAGTCAGAGGGTTTCTGAGGTTCAAGGAGCAGGCAAAGGCCTACAGTTCCAGGAGATAAATCCAAAGGAACACCAAGTATGCGGAGCCAAAGCAGGTGCAGAAAGCTCGGAGGTGTTTGGAGCCAGGGGGAGATAAAGCAAATGCAAGTGAGCCAGGAGCAGTGAAGTAGGAGGGGCCCCTGCTGAGCGGCTGCCCAGACGTCCATTTGTCATTTGCAACATATTTTTGCAGCTTAGTCCATCTCTAAGCCTAGATGCATCCAGGGTCACGAACAGAGCAGACAAATGAGGCAACAAAAGTTAAAAATGGAGATTCTGGGTGAATCTTCAGCAACACTTAGCCCCTGTGAAGGAAGCCATCTGAGCAATGGCCTGGTGGCCCATCGCCATTGTCAAACAATCCAGACACAGGTCCAGCAAGCTGGGGGCTCTGGCACCAATCAGCTCTGTGACCCTGGGGAGTCTTATACTCATTTGGGGCCTCTATTTCATTCTGAGAAATGGGGATAACAGTGTCTCCTCCACCTACTTTGCAGGGTTATTGTGAAGACCAGATAAATCTTAAGAATGCCTGAAATAAGAAATCTGAAAATGCTGCAGAAACCTAAGGGCATTATCAGGATCCTCTCTCTCTCCCTTTTTTTTTAGTTTATTTATTTTATCTATTTATTTTTGGCTGCATTAGGTCTGCGTTGCTGCACATGGGCTTTCTCTAGTTGCGGCAGGTGGTGGCTACTCTCTTCATTGCGGAGCACCGGCTCTAAGCACGCGGGCTTCAGTAATTGTAGAACGTGGGCTCAGTAGTTGTGCCTCGCCGGCTCTAGAGCATAGGCTCAGTAGTTGTGGCGCACGGGCCCAGTTGCTCCGTGGCCATGTGGGATCTTCCCGGACCAGACCTCGAACCCATGTCTCCGGCATTGGGCAGGCAGA